CCAGACAGGCTACAAAGTGAGTGTTGCCAGGTCGGGGGGAGAGAGAGAGAGAGAGAGAGAGAGAGAGAGAGAGGGGGGGGGGGGGGGGGGGGGGGGGGGAAATCGAGAGAAAAGGCGAGAAGAACACCGTTGAGCAGACGACTGAGAAATTGTGACGTCGTAAGTAAGAAGAAGACAAGTAGTAAAGAGAAGACAAGGCGGAGGTCAAACTGTGATGTGAGACGGTAGAGGGAAATGGGAAAACGACGATGATATCAGAGTGAGGGAGATATGACGAAGGGATTCGTGTGTCAGGGTGATGTTCAAAAAGACTTTTCCGTCGTGGATGAGAGAGATAACGTGTAGCAATGGGTGGTCCTGTAAAAAAAGCGGGAAACAATCAGAGGAAGGCAAAGCGGTGAGGGGTCAGAGTCCAAAGAGAGCGGGACAAGTTTGTCAGGCTTGCCAGGCCGGGGGGAGGTGTATTTCGAAAAAAAGCGGAAAGGCAGTGGGGAGCGGATGACAGAACAGGGTGGAAATGATACGAGACTAAAAAAGCATCACGCGAGGGGGGAGGGGAACCGGACAATGATATCGTAGCAAAAGAAGATACCGGTGGATTTCCTGGGTTGGGGAGATGTTCAGAAGTATTTGTCCGTAGTGCGTAGGCAAAAAAACTGTGAAGCAGTCTGGAGAACACAGAAGGGAAAGGCGGAAGGGGGAGGAGGAGGGAGAAATCTTAGCCCTTCGGGGTCCTGACTAGTCAAGGTCCGTCTGTTACACCCCAGGCCAAGCCTAAAAATACTGGCCCATTCTTCGAAGACCCCTTTGTTGGAACCTGATACCTCATCCAAATACCTGAAAAACCAGTGCGCAGGTCAAGGTCCGTTTGTTACCAGAGTGGTCCGGAGTCACTTCCCCGGCTGGGCCAAAAAAATAATAAAAAATTAAAAAAACAAATTATTTTTAAATTTTATTACTTTATTATAAATGCGGTGAACAATTTCAATGTGACCTTAAGGCAAACATTGTTCAGTTTATTTTTCTGCATAACATAGTTTGTTGTCGTATTTTTTGGGTTTTTTTTTTTTTTTTTTTTTTTTTTTTTTTTTTTTTTTTTTTTTTTTTTTTTTTTTTTTTTTTTTTTTTTTGAAAATTTTTTTTTTTTTTTTTTTTTTTTTAGGGTCAACGTTCGTCTCGCACGACTGAACGAATCTCCAAGGGGTCCCGTATATTGGGATTCGGCTACCATGTATATATATATTACTCCATTATTATAATTTATCATACTTATTTTTAAAATTATATATATATTTTTTATGCTTTATTATTATGAGTTATCGTTTATTACTCTTTTGCACATGTACAATATATGTGTATGAGTACTTTTAAATATTTATCAAAAATAACGTTTGGGAGTAAATAATAACTCATTTGTGATACAACCTTTATACATTGTGTCATATTATCCCTCATATTGTAATTTTTATACGATCCTTATCAACGACGTTTTATGGGTAGTGTTGGAAGGCGACTCAACACTTCTCTCTTGCTCATAAAAGTTATACGCGTAAGAAAATAAAATCAATATTTTGTTTCCCTCAATTTTTTTTTTTTATTGTTTTTTTTTTTTTTTTTTTTAATAAGATATTATACCAAAAGAATAAGTCTGTATTTGACATAAATTGAAGTAAAGACAAAAAACGAGAGTGCGCGTCGATATTGATTACAATTAGCAATTATAGAGGGACAATGACGCTCCAAATAGTAACCAGTGATATTCGCAATGCGCCGCACTCCCATTGGCGTACAGCATAACGCTTGTGGTCAAGTCGTGTCAGTCACATGTGTTATGAATGCAAGAATACAACTCAAGTGAGCCGCTGGAAGCACCGGGCATGACGACCTCGGCTATGGCTTCCAGTGCCAACAACTTCGGGTCGCGACACTACATCACTTAGCAGAGCGCCGCCGCCTTATCAACTGCGTTATTGCTTACATCGACAGTTTTTTAACACTTGAAGTGGAATGATTGATATATGTATCTGATGCGGTTGCTGCTTTGCTGCACGTGGTCTGTCATCGATTGGCCAGGGGAGAAGACTTACCGGAGTAAAGTGATTTTTATTTATTTATTTTTTTTTCCTGCTGGAAAACTGGTCCAGCGAATCAGTTTTCTGTAAGTCAGACTGTGACGGATGATCGTTGTGGGGGTTTGGTTGTTAACTGGTGAAAATCAGATGTTATCCTTATCCTAGTACTGATTATTGTCGCAGACGATGCTGACGTCAGACACTCTTTGTTAGGTGTGATTTGTGTGACAGTTTGTTGCAGGTTTCTTTCTCGTCCATTTCCTTTTTGTTAATTCATGTTAACCTTCCTCCTTAGGGTATTTCTTAGTTCAAATTTTTATCTGATTTTTTCATATGTCGGAATATTAAGGATTGTACTGTCATTCCATAGTAACGCTTCTTCTTTGCTGTTTATTGTTAATTTTTATTATTAGGGTAGGTCTTATTTCATTTTTTTTGCTGTTTTTTTCTAAAGTACTTTCATATGTTGGTGTATTAGAGATTGTACTGTCATTTTTGCTTGATATTTGAAATATATTGGCGATTGATGTTTTTTCAAACTCTTAGGGTTATGATTGCCGCTTTAGGCAATAAATACAAGATGTTTTACTTGTAATTTAGAAATTTCAGATTCATTAGGGTTAGGGTGGATATTGGAACCTACGACTTAATTAAGAATTTAGTTGTTGTGGTTTTGGAAAGCGGGTATCAAAAATTTTGTAGATTTTATTTTTGAAGACATTGAACAATGAGTTCTTATAGAGGAGGGGTTCCACGCCATGAAGCGAGTTTGAAGACCTTGCGATCCCTAAATCTGCAGCTCTTGACATTGTATTTCTGCCTTGGGCACTGACCGTAATAAAACTAGTTTTTCTTAATAAAAAAAAAAAGTAAATACGTGAAATATAAACAACCATAATGAATAAGATTTATAATCATAAAAAATAGTAAATTAGCCAGTCTTTTCGTCACGTAATTAATTGATTGTAAAAAAATTGTGAGCTGAAAATCAATTATTTTATTGATTGTTTGGTTTATAAATTTATTGATTAATTGACAAACATATTTATTGATTTATTGAGTATTATCATTTATTGGTGTATTGGTAAGTTAGTATACATTTTAAAAAATAAAGATTGATTGTTTTATTTTCATACGTGGATAATGGAGGGATTAATATGATTGATGATAATCTTTAAGATATTAATTAATTAATCGTTTTTTTTTTTTAATTATATTTTAATTTGTATTTTACTTCATGTTGAAAGAGGCACATACTTATTGCAATCAATGATGCACAGTGATTAATGAAATTTAAGCTATCCTCACCTTCTCAATTGTGAAACCTATTTTATTGAATTTTTTTTTTTTTTATCACTCCCCTTCTTTTTTAACAAATTTAACTAGTTGTTGCAAGGACGGTTTAAATTTCCAGACGCCTGAATTTTTATAACTAATGGTTTATTTTATGTATTGAAAAATTTAAGCCGACGGACATATGAAAATGATATCGGGTTCAATCAAAGTAAGGAGTATTCAACATATTTTGACCGATGCAAAATATTCGTTAAATACAAAGTTTTTGAGGAACATTTAACTAAATATGGCATCTACGAGAAACATCTCTTATATACTAAGATGTAAGAAGCGCATTTACGAAATAATCAAATTTTGAGGTGCGTATTGAAAGGATACAAGGTTTAATGAACCGTACGGATATTCGTTTAAATTGTTGTAGGACATTTGTCGAAGACTTTGTCTTTGAGGGGCATATAAGGAACTATTGCTTAAACCACTAGTACCTCCGAGCCTGTTTTTGTTGAATCTGAATTTCACTGCACTCTAAGTTTGTCGAGCATAGGTCCCACCCCATTTTCTTCTTGCTATTCTCACATAAAATAAATAAATAAATAAAAATTAGTTGTAAAACTCATAAAACAAGGAAGAAAAAAAAGCTTTGGTCGTGTTTGTAGTTCACTACATTATTGAAAGTGGTAGTTTGAGTGTGCCTTCAGTGACGGCATCTCAGCATCGTGGCTAGGTTGTCAAATTTCAGAAAGTCGAAAGGATAATAAAAAGACGAAAACACAAATTCGCCAGTGAAAATGGCTGGATACATTTCTCTGAGAGCCAGTGTGATCAGCATTACAATCCTTTGAGGAAACACAACTTGTAGATAACGGATTCTGCCTTGTCGGCAGGGGACTATAAGAAAGCCAAAATAGAGAAAACAACAACAACAACAACAAGAACAAGAACAAGAACAAGAACAAGAACAACAACAACAACAACAACAACAACAACAATAACAACAACGTTTATAATGTGATTGTGTTAGCTAGAAGATTCGTTATGTGGAGGAAGACGATGAGCACGACCTTCTAGACTACCTTGCCCGATATCATTGCAGTGGGGAAAGCATTTTCTTGTTTTTTTTTTTCCATTCACACGCGGGCAAATATAAAACTACGATTTATGGGACTTGCCAACCTTGGGTCCCACCCCCGAATTCTTAGGGAACAAACGGGCGTTTTTACGTAATCTCCCAACATTGGCACAGGTAGTGGTTTTAGAGGCACCTTTTCTTTATGCCCTCTGTAAGAAGGGCCATTCCCCTCATACCCATTACTTGGGGTTGTAGTCATGCCTATTGTTTGGAGGCCCTCTTACGGAAATGAAATTATAATAAACTTAAACTTGGTATCTAATTAGAAAATGGAAAAAAAAAAACACCCATGCTTGCTATATGGGGTCCTACGCACCACGATTCCCTTTCTGCCATTCTTGAAGGGGCCCCGAAAGCAAGTAGGCTAATTTTTCCATCACTTTTTGAGACGGCAGTCGCAGAGGGGGAGACAGGCGAGGAGTTTGTGGGTGGGGAAAGTGACGTCTGCTGGACCTTCCAGGAGGAGACAAGCCAGGCTCTGTTCTCGAGAAATACTGGCTACGGCCCTGCCCACGGTCCTCTGGAAGACGGGTGATCGCGGGAGGGAGAGGAGAGAGAGAGTGCGGCGCCCACCTGTTCTCGAAGAACTCAGCCTACCGAGGAGCGCGACCCGCTTCCCAGCCGTCGAGCAGGCTAGCTATGGAGGATGCAGCGGCTGCAACGGCGGCGGCCGACTCGGCCGCCAGAGAGCCTATGGACATCATGAGGGCGCTTCAAGCTCTGCTGAAGAAGTCTCTTGCTCACGACGGTCTTGCTAGGGGCCTCCATGAGGCGGCCAAGGCCATTGAGAAGAACAGYGCGCAGCTCTGTCTGCTCGCCGAGGATTGCAATCAGCCCGACTRCACGAARYTCATCGAAGCGCTCTGCCATGAGCACAACGTTCACTTGATTCAGGTCCCGCAGAACAAGAAGCTTGGCGAATGGGCAGGCCTCTGCAAGATTGACTCCGAGGGCAAGCCCCGCAAGGTCGTCGGCTGCTCCTGTGTCGTTGTCAAGGACTACGGCGAGGAATCCGAAGCCCTCAATGTTCTTCAGGAGTATCTCAAGGACCGTTAAGGGAAGCATCGTTTGTTCTTAGTTCTTTCCTCCCTCTTCTACTTGTCGTATTCTCTGAGAGAGCGAGCGAGAGCGAGCGAGCGAGAGAGAGAGAGAGAGAGAGAGAGAGAGAGAGAGAGAGAGAGAGAGAGAGAGAGAGAGGGAGAGAGAGAGATGAGAGAGATGTGGTGTTAAGTGAATTGTCTTATGGCAGTTTTGAGAAAGGTGTGATGGCTGAGTTCAGCAATTGTTGAAAGCGGAAGAACAGGTCGTGCAAGAGTAAGGAGAGGCTCACGGGGTGAAACAGGCAGAGAGGGGATGGAGTAAAAGTGGGGGGTTGGCTGATGCCAATGCTGATCGACGTGCGATGGCTGTATGTGGCAATTGTTCTAAGCGTTGAAAAGAAACCAGGACTGGTTGCAGAAGTGTTAACCTGCCTGGAAATTTTGTTTTGGTTGTTAAGAGCGAAGAATGAGTCTATCTTCCCTTTTTTTTATCTTCCCTTTTTTTTATCTTCCCTTCTTTTTATCTTCCTTTTTTTTTATTTTATGTTCTCCCTTTTTTTTTTTTTGCGCCTGACTTGGAAATTCCTCATGTTTCCGATTGACATGCGTTTGTGTCTATCTGTTCTGACTTTAGGGTACGTATGTTTGTCGGCACACTGTTGCGTGGAAGCTTTTTTTTGGCATTTCTGAGCAGCAGCAGATGGATTGCTAACTTAATTCTGCCTGCATCTACTCTGCCCGTCTTCGTATGTGTGCGCTTAAAAGTCTTGTTTGCACTATCAGTGTACAGAGCAACGCTTGGTATGTTACGTCGTGTGTGATTGTGTGTTTGTAATCGTTCCAGCTAATTTAGACCTCCCTGACCGAAGTTTTTTGGCGCCCTTTCAACTCAATCTGACGTCAGGGCTTATCAGGCTCCAGCTAATTGGAGCTGACGATTTCGCTTTCAAAAACGCCGAAATTACGGCCAGGTTCGTCCGAGTTTAATATCTGAAGGTTTGTGTATGGGAGTGTTTGTTTGCTGTATCACTACGTACGAACAATGTTTAATGCAGTACTTTGTGTGTGTGCGTGAGTGCGTGCGCCGTTGTGTACGGGACAATGCTATATATACCAATGTAATTTTCTTTTTGTGTTTGTGTTATCATGTCTGCGATAGACGGATTGATGCTTGGTATGCTACTTTGTGTGCTATTTTGTGGTGTGTATGTGTGCTGGAATGTCTGTCGGCATTGTCATAATGCATGCTATATCCATGAATTGTGTAGTAGTGTGTTTCTATGTCTAGTAAGTAGAAGCGTTATATCGATGTTAGATCGAGCATATTTCTTCAACTCCGAATTTGATTTGATTAATCATTTGATATTGATTAATCATTTGTGGACGTGGACTTTTTGCTGTAGTAATCGGCGAAGAAAACCGATGTTTACGGCTAAAAATCCTCCCAATAAGATGTTCATTGTGATCAATATTTCGAAATTTATTTCAGTAAAATAATAAAATAAAACATTTATGAAGTCACCTCCGGCGAGGTAATGGGTTTTTAGTTCTGCTAACCCTAATATTCCGTCGTCGTATTGATTTTATTCCAGATTTCTCTCAAACCCTAACATTCTGTCGTTGTATTGCTTTTATTACAGATTGCTTTCAGGATTCTCGTTCTTTTTTTTTTTTTTGTTAAATGTTTCGACGATGATGTGATCTTGTCGTTTCCGGGGTGTTTCGTCTCATCCTTATCTTCGCTTGTCTAAAAGGTAAGTTATCGTCCGCATCTTAGGATGTGGGACCACGCCATTCCAACCCTCTCATATCCAACCCACAGCACACACATAGCACAGAGCACACACATAGCACAGAGCACACAAGCACAGAGCGCACAACCACAGAGCACACGCGCACAGAGCACACACGCACAGCTCACACTCGGACAACAAGCACGCTTGGTGCATTCACAACGCACGCAATACAAGCACTACACACCAGAACACAGACACAGCACAAATACCACAAACACCACACGCAGACACAGCACAAATACCACACACACCACACACAAGACAATACAACACAACACATCTCACGCAGAAGCACAGACTATTTTGTTCTTTTCCATAGCATTCGTTCAGAAAGTAGCGTTTTTTGTGCTTTCGCGTTTCGTATCACACACCTCACAGCACACACAGCGTACACAGCACACACAGCACGCGAACCGCACAGGTCACACGTGTACCGCAGACCCACAGACTGTTCTGTTCTTGTCAACAGCGTTAGATCACAATGTACCGTTTTTTGTGCTTTCGCGTTTCGTATCAGCTCTTCTTCCATTACATCTGCTTCTAGGTTTTGCTTTGTTTCCGTTCTTTTTTTGCTGTCTTTCTTGGGTCCTTCACGCTCTTTGGTTGATTTGGGACGAGGGTTTGTTTTCCCATCAGGATGTGATGCTTCGTCTTCTGGGTACAGTGTCTGGTGCATATCTCACACGCGTTAAATTTCTCTCTTTCGTTCTTTTCCAATTTGATACTGAATGCAATCTACTGTCTTGAATCGGTTTTCGGTTTGGGATTGTTGGTATATGTCTCCTTCACCAAGGGAATCGGTCACATTTGCGATGTCCACTTGTCTTGTAGCGTTTTGTTCCACTTGTCTGATTCCTTTCGTTCTGCTCTCGGTGATTTTGTGCTTCCGCTGATCGGCGAGAATGCGGCAGCTTTTAACCCTTTTTTAACCGTGTTGTCGGTAAAACCTAGGAGCAGGTCTTTTTATTTTGTGTTTGTGTTTTTGAATCGTAACAGGTATATTAGGTTTCTCTCTTTCTAATTTTTATTTCTCAAACTGTTCTTTCAATCATGTCCTTTTCTGCCGTGTTTATCGTGTTTTCACATACATACACACCAGTCTTGCTGTCTTGTATTTACCGATGATCAGAGTCGTGGATTGTTTAGAAAGACTGGCGTCGAGTAGAGCAGCATGGCGATCCTGACGTTAGTCGATAGGTTTGTAGGTGGGCCCCTGCGGTCGATCCGCATCCAGACGGAATCGAACCGGTGACCTTGGCAATAACCGCCGCCGGATGCCTTTGTCACACTGCAATTGTGACCCCTCGATGACCGAAACGGGATCCATATCGGTTGTTGTGACATTCAGCTCACCTCAACACGCTTGTAGCAAGGTCTTACTCATCCACATGGAGACGTCCGAGTGAGCATCTGCAGGCAGCAGGATCCACGCAGCCAGCACTTCTTCGACTGAATCTGACCGTAATTGTGACCCGATTCCCTCGACCTGTAGCAACATTTGCGCTTGCTCGGAGTGTTCTTCTGTACTATCGATGGCGCGTGTGAGATTCGATCCGCTGACGTGGTGCATCGAATTTGAGTGCCTGCAGCTAAAGACTGATGACGGGAGATAAGGGGGTGGGAAGAGACAGAAGGAAGGAGGATAAGGGGTTGGGAAGAGAGAAGGAAGGAGGATAAGGGGTTGGGAAGAGAAGGAAGGAGGATAAGGGGGTGGGAAGAGACGGAAGGAAGGAGGATAAGGGGGTGGGAAGAGACGGAAGGAACTAGGACAAGGGGGTGGGAAGAGACAGAAGGAAGGAGGATAAGAGGGTGGGAAGAGACGAAAGGAAGGAGGAATGTGTTCTATCGAAAATATGGATTCAAAGAAAGAGTGCGGAGAGGGCAAAACAAAGCAGGGATAGAAAATTAAAGAGGGACAAGTGTAGTGGGGGAAAGCGAGGGGATGCTGACTGGGGGCGGGGGTGAAGGGCGGAGGGGAGGGGGTAAAGAGATCGAGCAGAAGCCATAGTAGAGAAACATGAAAGGCAGCTGGAGGACAAGTGAGAGGGAGTCAAAGGGAGTAAAAGAGGGGAGAGGCTGGGGAGGGACAGCGGAAAAGAGGAGGAAATAGTCCGGGAAAGAGAGCGGACAAGAAGGGAAGGGTGAGGCGAAGAGAGACATGAGCAGAGGGGGAAACGAGGAGGTGATGTCAGGGGTAAAAAGACCAGGCAGAAGCAATAGAAGAGAATATGAAAGGCGGCTGGGGGACAAGTAAGAAGACTGCAAAATGGGGAGGCCGAGGAGGGACAGCAGAAAAGAGGAAAGGAGTATTCGGGATACACAGCGGACAAGAAACGGTGGATAAGGCGAAGGAAGAGAGATTGGACGCGAACAAGAGAATTGTCGTGTCATTACGCCGGCGACGGAATGACGTGTGTAGCTGAAGGACATGCTCTGGGGGATTAGGAGGGGTGGCTTCTTGTATGCCGACCTCAAGCTGTGGGAAGAGGAGGATAGAGATGTACAGTGTGGACTCTCTCTCACACACACGCACACACACACACACACACACAGAGAGAGAGAGAGAGAGGATCCGGACTGTCCATTAGCAGAGCGGGCGCAGACTCACAAAACAGTCTGTTCGGCACAGTCATGCTTATTTTGAGTGTATTGCGGATATGACCACAAGCACACACACACACACACACAGAGATAGATAGATAGATAGATAGATAGATAGATAGATAGATAGATAGAGAGAGAGAGAGAGAGAGAGAGAGAGAGAAAGAGCATGCACTTCGAGACTGTCCGTTAGCAGATAGGGGCATGGCCAGTTGGAAGCACAACCCTAATGCTATATCTGACGATCTTGTGAAAGAAGTGAACCCTAAAATACTGAAACAGGACTGTAAAGCTGTGAACGAGCCCCAATTTATTCTGTAGCTAACCCTAACACTCCATAAGTTCTGCAAATGATGAAATGTTTTGGACGTCTGACTTTATTCGTTTGACCCCTTTAGGGCTTGAACGGCGGCATGAAAGTGAAAGCTATACGCAGTGACTCTGATTGAGTTGGTCGAAGGGGCCTCGCTCTTGAGGAGGGGGGTTTAGTGCCACATAAGAGTCGCTCCTCTTCGACCAATTACGAGAGCTATAAACTCAGTTATGCTACATCATCCCATTCACTTGGACTCTTACTATGTGTCTCGTATATCGTTAACCTAAAGCCAGTTAGTGTTTATGACACCTTCAATGAAGGCCCTCATGACGAAAATGCTCCACATGATGTGAATAGCGATGTCGAAGGCGACGGTTTCCGAGAAGATAACGGTGTTTCTTGGAGCCACTGAGCTTGTGAATGCTCAAATAGAAGAAAATGCGAATTCCTGAATTCTTGTGAAGGGTGGAGGGTGAATGCGGAGAAACCATTTTTGAGGGGGTAGGGGTGAAGTCACGGATGACGGAAGGTGCAGTCAGCCCTCATAGCTCGTCTGTGTAATTGTTTGCGGGAGAGCGAGAGGGTGGAGAAGTGAGTTAGTAGCGATGGGAAGAGTTGTCTGATTGGGACGTGTGTGTGTGTGTGTGTGAGAGAGAGAGAGAGAGAGAGAGAGAGAGAGAGAGATGTTTGAGATCTGTGTGAATGT